TATACCAAGTAACTTGAGTTTCCACCACTCCACCTATTTACTTAAATATATAGTATTCCTACCTATAGTACATACATACATACTTATATGTATATAAACAATATGAGATTTTATTAAATAATAATAAAAACTCCTAGCAAAAACAGCGAATGCCAAAATGCAGAGAAAAATGTGAGTTTAAAATTTATGTCACCCTGTTCGTGGTAGTAGAAACGGCTGATAATCGACAGAAATTCACCAGCAAAAAATAGCCAGCCATTTTCCACTGCTAGTTCTTTCAAACATCGTTGAGATCAGCTGATAAACAAGTGACGCCAGCTAAGTAGAAGCAGAGATATTCATTGAAAACTTAGATATTTTTGGCATATATACCTAACATTGGCAAAGACCGTCTATAAAATATCGATTAATTGATAGTTTAACCACTTCTGCCGGGCTACAAATGAACTAAATGTCTAGATAGGTTTGAAAAATTGAAACAGCTGATATTTTGCAATAGTTTATGATCTGTCACGTACGAACTGTTAAGAATTTAGCGCACTTAAAATCAGCTCATCAGGAAAAGGGAACTTTAGCCAATCAGAGCAGCTGATATTACGTTTTCCCTCGTTTAGCTTTGATTCTTTTAAACCTATGGTAAATAATTTATTTTTATATAGTCTAACAAGGTAAAAGATAAAATTAATTTTACGATAAAAAGTTATCTACTTAAAAAATATCCATATATCGGAAATGATATTTCAAGTTTGATTTTAGCGGATCTAAAAATATTAAAAAATTTCGATTTGTTCGATTTCGATCGAAAAACGCATCTTTAACTTTAAAACAAGTTTTTTTTATCAAGCGCAAAAATATTACAGTTTTAAAGCAAAATAAATATCGATATATCGGAACTTTTATTTCAAGTTTTCTTTAATCGAATTCAATAGTTATTAACATAAAAACTAATTTTTCCATAAAAGATTATCAATTTTTCGGATTTTTTTTTTTAATGTCAGACGATCAACATACATAGGCGCTGTGTGGAGGGCAAAGATACATTTTTCTATTAAAAAAATATCGTTTTAGGAAATATGTAAATTTAAACATATGTATTTATATGTACAAATATCGATGCATCTTTTAACTTAAGTTTACTTTTTATTTAAATTAGTTTTCTTATCAAGCTAAAAAACACTAAGAATTAAAGCAAATTTTGCGATTCAAAGCTAGAATATATATCGATTTATCGCAAAATGTATCGATATATCAGAGTATTTTAACGCTATATAGACGTCGAAATTGATTTCTTCGCTTGATAAAGAACGATAATAAATCGATACATCGAACAATGCATATTTTAGCTTTTTTTTGTGCTTTATTTAAATTATGATAAAGACCACTTTCTTTTATCGAATATAAAAAGACATGTAAATTATACACAAAAAAAAAATTCGAATAAAAATTATTGATTTTCAAAATATATGCACATTTGAAAAATGCATATTTAAGCTCTACTGAACTTTTTTTTATTTAAATGGATCTTTCGAAGCCGGAATCAATGTTTTCCATAAAAACTTATCAATTTTTCGAAAAAATATATCGACTACGGGGAAAATGTATCGATTGATCATAAAATATTGGCGTTATCAGATGGCTAATGTGAATTCCTCGATCATAAAGTATCGACATTTCAGAAAATAAATCGATATACATAGCTACATATATATCGATAAATCCAAAAAAAAAAACTTTAAATTACAGTTATGTGAAAAAATTCATCGATTTACGATGAAGTTTAGATTATCATGCAATATATATGAAAATTCTGATATTTTGATTTCGATATTGTGAAAATCATTACTTACATATCGCTGATATGCACTTTATTATAAGCCCCCTTTCACGCCAAGAAAGTAATGCGAAATTCAGGCTCAGCTGTTTCGACTGAAATTGCTAACGAATTTTTTTCCAATGACTTGGCTTCAAAATATTTTTTAGCATTTGTGATTATTTAATTGTTCCTAACAACTGGCATACACTGTTACAGGCTAACCTTATATTCACGCACGCCGCCAATTTACTGTCAAAAATTTCTCATGCACATACAACTTGTATGGGACCAACCGAAATTGAACGGCGTGCGTATGAAGCTAACTCAATTTCCAATTTTTGTTCTGCGTGACATTTTGATTTGACGTTTCGCTCAATGAAATCAAATGCAAACGCTCGCAAGCCAATTTCGGGTGACGCAAAAAAATAAATTCGACGTCGTGCGTACCAAAACGCAAGCCGCGAATATTAGGTTAGCCTGTTAGCCCTTCTTTTCTATACAAGCAAGTTCCCTGCAGTTGGTAACGCGAGCGACTTTTCAAATAACCAAAGATGCCATATTGTTCGGTTTTAATTTTGGTAGTTATTATATTTGTTATTGTAATTTTTAATTTGCTATCCTAAAATGTTTTCACGTTTTAGAAAATGCTTCGAAAAGTACGAAAAGCTAACTGAATTTATTCCATTAAATATAGACTTACTGCATATTCTTGAAACTCTTGAAACTTGCGCTGCGTATGAACTTATGAAAGCTAACTTTTATTAAATTTAATTTCACTTACATAAAAAAAATACTGCTTGGTGAAATGATACAGCTCTAATTATAGCAAGTTATAAAAGTACTAAAAACACTACAACTGAAAGTTGCATAGTTTAATATTTAATTTATAGTAGCAAAACAATAGTTTTTAATTTCCCAATGAACTCCCTGTCGAAATGCAATTATGAATTGAGCAAAACCTATCTTTAAACTTATGAATTTATGTATACATATGCATGTCGATAATAAATAAGATGGAAATTCTAGTAAAATGAATCCGAAATTGTGTAAGTAAAAATGAAAAAGTATGTTTGCTGTGGTTTGAAAGAAAAAGTATGGAATGACGACTTATTATGTTCAGTAAAAACGTAATGTAATCTAACAGAAGCTAAATAAGTTATAGTATTAAAGTTTAAGTATCAAATATGTAAAAATATAAAAACAAAAATTATTAAAAACAAGAAACCCAAACTGTTAGCTTTTAAGTAGCGAAACAACTGAAAGGAAGATGAAATTTTGAAAGAAAAATTCAAAATGTAACGAGATCAAATATCAATAATCCACATATTTACAAAAGTATATACGCAAATATATTAGCAACAATAATAGTTAATTAAATAATAACACGCTGATTTCTACTTTTCTGGGCGAAACTAAAAAAAATACAACAAAAGCTGTTGTTTAAAGAAATAAATACGGTTTTTTCTGCTCTTGTAAATTTTACGAGTATGTATTTGAAACAAAAATAATGAAATGCAATCGCAGAAAAAAATGTAAGAAAAGTAGCAAAATTGTGTATAAAAAGTTTAGCGGTTAAATGTTTTGAAAAGTGTCGCGTTGCCAATTGTCACGATAATTTCTAAAACCCTTAAGATATGTTAATGGGTACATATTTAAAAAAAATGTAATTTATAAACTAACTTAATTCATAGCGATAAAATTAATGCGTAAAGCAAACAATTTTATTGAAATGCAACTACTCATGTAAGATTACCCAAAAAAAATATATATAACAGTTAAAAAGGTATATGAATATAAAATAAATGAAAGAAATACGAGTACCAAAGCAAATTACTATCAAAAAAGTTTTGTTTTATTTAGCTTTTAGCTTTAATGGAAACGGTGCTTTGCCCAAAATAAATAAATCTGAGTCGAACCTGGTAAAAACGAATAAAATTCACACTTACATTTTTAACGCTAAGCAGATACTTCTTCGATACTTCTTCGAAGAGCTGCATACATGAACACAAACCCCATTTGGCTCTCACGAAAAACCTAGTGTATCCTGCATGGGCACTAGGGTGTTTTTTTTTTTTTGAAAACCGGTCTTCAATATTTGAAAATTTGAAATTTAGAAAAAAACTGTTTCCCCATTTTCAAATTTAAAAAAAAAAAACGGTTAAACCGGTTTTATTTGACATATTCAGCCTTATCATGAGTTTCATTTTCCCCGACCCGGTTCACTTTTCACTTTTGGTTTCCATGGTTTTACTATGGGAGGATGACAAATTTTCGGGCGAATTTTTTTCAGGTGAAACTCAGGATATTGCAGAATAATAGCTTGGCGCTTACACATACATACATATGTTAGTGTTTGGCCGAGCTTCTCCTCCGATTTGTGGGGTGCGCCTTGATGTCGTCACACAAAGGGGACGGACCGAGCTATTCCGAACGGCGATTGTATTTTTATAAGAAGCTATTTTTCATGTCAGAAATACACTCGGAGGTTTGCCATTGCCTGCCAAGGGGTGACCGTTGGTAAGAACATGAAACAATAGTGGTATTCACCAAAGTGAGCAAGTGGCCTGGCGGTCTGGCGAGATAGTAGATTAGCTCAAGCAATGACTGTTGTCATTGAAATTAAAAAGGCAAAAGACTACGCACAATTGAGTCATTCAGAGTCATACCAGAGTCATGTCGGTGTAACTAACACATATTTATTTTCGCTTACACATCCAAACCGACTCGCGAGTCAAACGCACCGTGTATGCCATGCCGCCTATTAAAGATTTTCGTTCGGTATTCCTTAATTTTATGGTACAGAGCTACATAAAGTACCATCAAATTAAGGAATAAGCTACCTTTACATTAGCCTTCATCGATTCGCCAACACTTAGCGAAAAATCGGTTAAATCTATAATATAAGTATTATAAATGTGAAAGTTTGTATGTTTGGATGTTTGGGAAATCATCANCTATTTGTATAAAATCGCGAGGTGAAACCCGCGGGTATAAGCTAGTATAAGATAAATCTATTAAATATTAGTGAAATCGAGAGCATTATTTGGATCCGGAAGTCAGGGATTATTGCCAACAAACTTATAGCATATGGCTTCGCCCAATCAACGCTGATCAAATTTGCAAAGAAAAGTGGCTGGCAACGCGACCAACAGCTGTTGGCCTGCTGCACTTCCGTTGTTCTCGTTTTGTTTACATCACCCCTTTAGGCCCACTTGCCCCCGCCGAACATTCAATGCACTCGGTGAAAGCAATCAAATTTAGCAAGAAAAATGTTCTATAGCTACCAAAACAGGTATACATACATACCTGCTGGAATTGTGAAATTATTGGGAACCACATAAAATAATACGCACTTGCCAGAGAAGTTGCAGTTTGCTGTCGACAAACGAATGAACACACTCGAAAGTTGTCGCAACAAGACAAATTGCAATGCTACAGTCCTTCAAGCAGTTATTTCGGCAAACGGAGAGTGCCAGTAATGATGACAATGATGCAGAATTATATCAAATATGGCCAAAACGGGCGTCAGTTTTAGAGTTTAGTGCTTTCGGAAAAGAATTGCTGCAGAAAAGTGCCACTGTACCTAGGCCAGATGCAAATAAAATCACCATCAAAAGTTTTATGGAAACATCGGCGGAATTTCCATTGAAGGTATAAATTGTGTATACTTGTATGCGGCTTTGAATTTCAGTTATACATATGTATGTAAAGTGTATTAAATATTGGATAATTTGTCATTCCTTTGCAGTTCGGCACAGATGCATGCCGAGTGATGAATCAGCCAGAAGAGCGTTATCCAGCGATAGCTAAGCAAATTGCTTCTACCTACCCGGTAATACATGAGCGTGTTTTGTGGTTGTATCTGGCATTCTTGGAACACAAATGCAAATACGGTGCGTTGTTAGAAATACATATTAAATAAATATACTTGTATGTGCACATAACGATAGAGAGAATCATATTATACTATGGGTACATCCACGAATATCCATATCTATCACAATGGTTTTTGTATGTCATTGGCTTGAGTAAAATTTAACGACGAATTTGCTTTCCCACAGGTACCAATATCGAACGCGCCTTGTATCATGGCATGTCCCTGACAGCTTTCGTGCAGCGTTTGCTGGAGAAACGCTGTGCATCATTTGTAGGTCCGTTGGATCATTATCTATTAATTAATGGTAAAACTGGCTTAGGCAAATTTTATGACGTAGGCACCATCAATGAAGAGGCGCCATTTCTACTAAAAGATGTGCTGAGCTATGATGAAATGAAGGTGAGAGAAGGGGAAAAGGCTATATATCGTTACCGTAATATAGAAAGGCCATATCTAACATTATTGTATCTTTACAGAATAGTCACAAAACTTTATAAAAACTAAAGTTCTTAAGTTGGGAATTTCTATAATTTCTTCGAAACTGAAAGTAATTTATTAATATAGTAATTATTTTTAAATTCCATTAGGCATTTAATGACTAATCTACCGACCTTTGTACAAATCTGAATTTGGAAAGAAAATGAGTTAAGGCCTTTCTATTTTATCGTAACGATATAGAATGTAGAGTCCGACTGATTCCCAATTTTTGGCCGATGCCGATTAATCGTTCGGACTTTAACAGAATGAAGTATGTATAAATTTCAATTACAGTATATTTTGCTTTGCTGCCTCTATGCTTAAGTGCACATTTAAGATACCTACCCCAAAATGCGCATCAGAGGCATTATTTTTAACATTTATAAGGAAACTGCTCCGATAGATGCATTTAGCATACCTGCACATTGGCGATACCTGCCTTAAAAAATATGCGATTACCTGCACTGGCCCTACAATTACCTAATTTTACAACTTTTTATTTATTTTGTTCATCTCGCAGAATAACGAAAATGGCTATAAATTTATGTAGTTATATAGATAATTAGATACTATTCGGTAAAAATTTCGCTTGCAGTAATTTCTACGTGGTAAGTGCTTCTCCATTATTTGCTTTCATAGGGATTTGGATACCTTCCTCATTGAAGTAGTAAAGAAAATTCGCTTAAGTGCCTTTTTCGGTTAAGTGCACAAGTTTTTCGTGCAAAGAAGGATGTGCAGCTAAGCAAAATATACTGTATTTCGGTTTGTAATACACTTTTTTAATTCCTGACCTTTAGCTTTCCGCTTTCCTATCAGTCTCTTCATTTACCGAATTTCTAAACGATGGAAACCGAAAAAATGCTGGCGTCATTGAGGCAGATAAATCGAAAATCGAACGCGAGGGTGTTATTGTCGGCATAATTGGTGCACGCTTCCAAGCTCGCGAAGCAATGGATTGGCAGGACACTATTATCACCAGCGAACAAAATCGTAAAGAGCGTGGTTATGGTTATACGCCGCAGCAAGCCATGCTTTCCACAAATTCCGTTGTTGATTATCGCCGTATGTGGTCGCATTTTTATGAACAGCAAGATTTATTATATAGCAACATTAGTGGTCGAGAGTCCGCGCGTTTCTACAAAATTCCGAATACAACATTCATTTTCGACAATCTCATGATGAAGAAACGCAATGCAATATCCTTTGATACAATACTTTTGGAGGCGAATGCACGCGGCATTGCCGCTAACAAGCAAGTTTATTTACATGTGGTTGGCATTGGCTTGGGGGCTTGGCGCGCCGTGCAGCATCAGGATAAAATATTCTTGGAAACTTTTGGTGAACGTTTACAAGAGCTACTGTCAAGCTTATCACACATATCTGTTGTGCACTTTTCCTACTTTGGCATGTCCTCCTGGGCTCAGCTTGAGGATGGTGGTGTCATTGCTTCGCCAAAGCATCCCTCTGGCGGCATAAAAATTTTTCTTAGCAACAGAAATCCTGCACAGAAATTAGTGAGTTGGTGAACAATGGGTAATTGGTTCTTTAAGTTGTTATAATACTTGAAAACATGTTTGTCTTTTTAGGCACCGGAATTCGAGAATATGCTGGTGGTGGAGTCGTATGCTTGGGATGGCAATGCTTTGCCAGGCAATGAATTCTGGCTTGTAAGTATATAGAGTTTGTTATAATTGATTTAGAATAAATACTACATATTTTATGTTATTTCCTTTTTTAGGGTTCGCTTACCTCTTCCGGCGACCCTGCTGCCGCATGCAGTACACTCATCACAGAGCTACATAACCCACATATCAATACAAGTATGGTAAATGGCGCAAATGTGCATGTGGCAACAGAACTTTACAGTGTTTTGCATATCTCTGAGTATGCGAAGAAAATGTGTACCTAAAAATTTTTCTACGCAACAATCCATACTAAAATGTGCTTCCCTGTTGGCAATATGTGTTCGTTAAATTTTCTTATAACGGCTTGATGGTAAAATATAAAAGTATTTATGTATGCAAGTATGTATGTATGTATGCCTTTCTTCAAATATATTTATTTAAATAAAAGGTTTGTGACATTCATTGCGAAAAATTTGTAATAAATGAGAAAAAACTAATTTATGCCATATGCCAAAAATATTCAGTTAATGGGGCCGTATGAATAAAAACTAAGCAATGAATTTTAAACAAAAGCTACTGCTTATTTTTTATTAATATGGCCCAATAAATTGAAGTAAAATTTACAACGGAAACAATTTAATTTATCCGATTGGAAGAAATCGTTTTCCGCTTAGCGAATCCCACAAAAACTATGTAGTTGGCAACGCGAAGTGGGCAATCAGCTGTTCTCTTGGCCAATTGTTTACATTTCATTGCCCTTTTTGTTTATAAAGATTTTTTATAACGCGTAAAAATACCAAAATACAAGCTAATGAGCTGCAAAGCACGATTCCAGGCATTCTCTGTATATTCTCTGAAGATGTATATATAAATATACACATATGGCTGTATGTAGTTCCAGTGCTGCGCGTGAGCATATGAAAACGCTTCCAACAAACGCTTCAGCAACAGAGCAATTTAGTGTTTGCATTACCTATGCAAATAAAACACAAAATGCTGTCCAATATCATCGAAAAAATCTTTAAACCAAAGAAAAGTAATTTCAATGAAGAAGCACTGAATCAGATTTGGCCTCCTAGGGGCACAGGTTTGTCAATCACCGAATTTGGCAAAGAATTATTGCAGAAATGTACTATAGTACCAAAACCCAACGCGAGTGAAGTGAAGATATCAGATTTCATTGAGCAATCGTTACGCTTTCCATTGAAGGTACGGATGGAAGTGTTACTAATAAGATGATGTATTATGGCGTACGCGCTTAATTGAATTTTAATTTTTCAACAGTTTGGCAGGGATACATGCCGCGTAATGAGTGAGCCAAAAGAACGCTATCCAGAAATTGAAAAACAAATCGGCTCTGCATATCCGGTAATCCATGAACGTGTTTTGGGCTTATATTTGGCTTTCTTGGAACACAAATGCAAATATGGTGCGTGTTTAGCTTTATATACATTTCAAACCATGTTTCAAAGTATCTGTGTAAAAGCAGCCATCGCTTTTAAAGCTACTAATATAGGGAGTGTCTACTTACACGCGCCACGGTAACTTTTACCTTGGATCCAGATTTGGCCGTAGATCCACGGTAAAAATTACGCCGTAAGAAGTTCTGTCCCACTTCCCCGGCAACACAGAAAGGAGAATTCTGAGTAGTAAGGGTTATAACCCCTAAGCGCGGCTGAAGGCCGCCTACGCAACACATAACGCAAACGGTAATTTTACCATGGATCTACGGTAATTTTTACCGGGGATCTACGCTAAAAATTACCGTGGCGCGTGTAAGTAGACACTCCCTATATTAGTAGCTTTAAAAGCGCTGGCTGCTTTTACACAGATACATATTAATTAAATAAATTATACTTTATAGTGGGTGTTAAAAAGTTACCTGCCGTCACCGACCGATATCGCACTTCCGTTTCCGTAGTAACATACTTTCACAGCGAGGATTTTCATTTTATACACACCAACACATCTTATAATTTAATAAAAAAAAACACCTTTGCTTGTCTACTCCTGCATAGTTTTTATATTACTTTCTAGGAAACGATTTAGAACGTGTCATTTATAATGACATGACCGTTACTGGACTCGTTCAGAGATTACTCGAAAAACGCTGTGCTGCTTTTGTGGGTCCGCTCGATGACTATTTGTTACTTAAGGGCAGAAAAACTATGGCAAATTTTTTCGATGTAGGCACAGCCGATGAGAAAGCTCCATTGGTGTTAAAAGATGTGCTGAGTTATGATGAGATCAAGGTAAGAGCACAGCAAAAGATAAGTATATAATATTTATTACCAAAAAAACTCCCATACTTAATATGTAGTAGCTCTCTGCCTTTCTTTCGTTTTCATCACACACCGAGTTTCTCAATGACGGCAGACGCTTCAACTGTGGTATCATAGAAGAGGATAAATCAAAAATTGAGATCGAAGGTGTTATAATCGGTATAATTGGTGGCCGCTTCGAAGCGGAGGATGTAATGGAGTGGCAGGATATTATGATCACTTCAATGCAAAACACAAAGGAGCGAGGCTATGGTTTTACCGCGAAAGCAGCAAAGAAGGTAAAGAAACGCTCTGTTGACTATCGTCAATTGTGGACGCGCTTTTATGAACAGCAAGATCTAATCTATGATAAAGTGGAAAATGTTGTTTCACCACGTTTCTATAAAGATCCACAAACGCGTAGCATTTTCGACAATTTGATAATGGAGAAGCGGTATTCCATCACTTTTGATACATTATTACTAGAAGCGAATGCACGCGGCGCTGCTGCCGCCAAGCAAGTGTACTTGCATGTTGTTGGTATTGGATTGGGCGCTTGGCGTGTGGTACAGCACCAAGACAAAATATTTTTAAAAACATTTAGCGAGCGCTTGCAAGTGCTTTTGCCGTGTTTGGCGAATATTTCAGTGGTGCACTTCTCGAATTTTAGATCTTCTGCTGCGAAGAATCACATAAGCGACGGTGCAGTGCTTGGATCGGAAACACAGCCTAGCGGCAGTATTAAGACTTTTCTACACGACCGTTATCCGGCGGAAAAATTGGTAAGATATTTCATTGGGTGAGAATTTTTCTTTTAAGGTCAGTTGTCATTTCAATTTCCCAGCCATCAGAGTACGAAAATATGCTAATCGTGGAATCGTATGCCGGGGATGCTAATGCATTGCCGGGCAATGAATTTTGGAAGGTGTGCTAAGCTACAAAAAAAGTTTTTGTGGACTCAATGCTAAGCACATGCATTTTACTTGCAGGGCTGGCTTACGAGCTCTGGGGATCCTGCTGCCGCTTGCAGTACACTTATTTCGGAGCTTCATAACCCGCATATTAACACAAAAATGGTGAATGGCGAAAATTTGCATATAGCTTCGGATCGCTTCGGTGTTTTACACATTGCCGAATACTGCAAAGAAATTTTGCATTAGAAAATTAACTGCATACAAAAATTATTGGATTTTTTATATCTCGCACCTTTTTTTATAGTAGACTTAATTATATAAATGACTTATGGACAAATAAACCTTTAGCTATTGAACTTTTACACACACATTTTACTTAGTTTGATATTATACACATTTCACTACCGACGCGTTGGCGACCAACGCAGTTGTCGGTTGTATTTAGCATAAGGCGCTAATTTTTTCTATATTTTACATTTTCTCACTTAAGCACAAATAAATTTGCGGGCTTTGAACTTTTACACATTGAAACACACTTTAAAACACACCTTAAATTTATATTTATTAATTTGCACACTTCACTGCCGACGCGGTTAGCTCGTACGCTAAATCACATTTGGCGGGTAACGTTTTGCATATGGCGGTAATTTTTTGGTTGTTTGACGTTTTCTCACTACATACACTTATACGATATGCATTTGCGTTTGGCAGCGCGCTAGTGGTGATTTAAGGAAAACTTGTTTGAACTAATGTGCGAATGTGTTACAAGTAGACAATTAATTTTTATGCGTGAATACTTTTTAATAAATTTTGTGTAACAGTTTTTCAGAACCGGAAAATAAAGAGCACTTATTCGTAGTCTTCCGGCTGTCGACTTGTTAACAATTTTGCAAATTGTTGGCAACGCTATTTGTCAGCTGTTGTAAACTTGCTGAATTGTTTTTGTTTCCTTTCGTGAATTTCAGCCAAACAACAGGTGCTTGGCCATCAATCCCCATTGGAATTGACAGTGATGCTATGCAAACCTTTTAAAAAATTATATTCTAAACCCAAAAAGTTCAGTCACTCATTACACATTATATAAATATTCACTGCTGCAGAAAAAAGAAAATAAACCTTTCATGATTTTTACACTAAAAGGTTTTCGGGATTGAAATATTTTTCTTACAGGGCTACGAAGATGTAATCAAAATAGAGGAATTAACAAGATACGTGTACTTAAGCAAACAAATAAATTCCACCGGGTATGTCCCATTGTGAAATGAGATTTGCAATCACGAAATGCAATAAATTGCAATGCGAGATCATGGAAAGGGCTCACTTCAAAGCAAAGTTGCAATAGTGCATATTAGTAAGCGTTGGCAATAAACAACAACAAAAATGTGGTCAACTATGAAAAGATTTCTTTTGCAATTATTTACTCCTGACGATAGGAATTCAGCAGTACTTGGGGCAGAATATAATAAAATATGGCCACCAATTCATCCATTCATCAAATTTACCGACTTTGGCAAAGAATTGTTGTACAATTGCACCAAAGTGGTTAAACCGGATATGAGCGAGATTGACATTGAAAAATTTATGGAAAAATCATGCAGCTTTTCTGTAGAGGTGAGTGTGTTCTTGTTGTATGGCCACATTTGCAAAGGTAAATTGGCCTTTTTATTGTACTTCCAGTTTGGCACCGATACATGTCGGGTGATGAGCCAACCTACGGAACTTTATCCAGTTATTACGCAACAAATCGCCTCTGCATATCCCATAATACATGAACGAGTTTTATATTTGTATCTGGCATTCCTGGAGCACAAGTTGAAATATGGTATTTAGTGAATTAGTTGTAATATTGAATTTTACAGACTATAACGAACCCCTTTCACCCCTTATGCTTTACAGGAAATCAAATAGAACGCGCCGTTTACACAAGAATGATACTAACCGCATTTGTTCAAAGGCTGCTAGAGAAGCGTTGTGCATCATTTTATGGTTGTATAGACCATTATCTACTAGTCACTGGGGAAAAAGGCTATGGCGGATTTTGTGAAGTGGGTACTAGCGCCGAAAGAGCGCCGTTGCTGCTGAAGGATGTATTAAGTTATGATGAAATTAAGGTAAAAGCATAAAAGTGCGTTTTATGGGTCGATTATGAATAGCAAAACCCAACCTCAGTTGAGGTATCAGCAACCAAGATTTGAGTGTAAATAGGCCGTGAAAACAGTTAAAAAAAATAAATAAATTTTCACAATCGAAATATGCGCGGCAACTACAAAAATGCAGTTGCCAATATAGCAACTCAGTTGCCAGCTTTCAGTTGCCAGTTGCCATCTATAACTCAATTTCAGCCACTGGCAAGGCAACTGAAGTTCGGTTGCCATCCGTAATTGTCCCATTAATCACTGCCTTGATAAAATTTGTACTTAATTATTCTCAGCTTACCGCTTTATTATCAATCTCTTCTCATACGGAATTCATAAATGATGGCAATCGTTACAACGAGGGCATCGTCGAAGAAGACAAATCAAAAATCGAGCCTACAGGTGTAGTTATTGGTCTGATAGGCGGGCGTTTTCAAGTAAAAGATGCAATGGAATGGCAAGATATAATGATTACTGCCTCGCAGAATACTAGAGAGAATGGTTATGGATATACGCCACAAGAGTCAAAGGGTGGAAACTGTCGCAACGTTAGTTATCGTCAGATGTGGACACAATTCTATGAAGAGCAGGATTTAATCTATGAAAACGTCAAAACACTGAATTCGAAACGCTTCTTCAAAGGGCCGGATACTAGATTTATTTTCGACAACTTAATGATGAAGAAGCGCTATGCTATCTCTTTTGATACACTGCTGCTGGAAGCAGAAGCGCGTGGCGCTGCTGCTAACAAGCAAATGTATGTACATGTGGTTGGCATAGGGTTGGGCTCGTGGAGAGCTGTGCCTCAGCAAGAAAAAATATTTTTAGAGACCTTCGCTGAACGTCTGCAAGAGCTACTAGCGCAGCTAGCACACATTTCCGTTGTGCACTTCTCATATTTCTCTATGGCCGCGTGGGCGAATTTTCAGGATGGCGGAGTAATTAAATCGATAACTCATCCAGCGGGAGGCGTTAAAATTTTCATGCACAACCGTAATCCCGCACAGAAGTTGGTAAGCGATGTATTGAATTTTTTACGTGGTTACATACTTATGTATGTACGTACATATATATGTATGTATGTATGTACATATGCATGTACATTTGCATATCGATAAGTTTTGTTTCCAATCAGGCACCAGAATTCGCAAATATGCTGATAATAGAGTCCTATGCCTGGGCCGGCAATGCACTTCCCGGAAACGATTTTTGGCTTGTAAGTTAAAAAAAAAAACTTTGCGTTTTATTTCGAATTATTTACCATGCTAAACTTTACATTTAACTAGGGTGCACTGGCTTCTTCCGGTGATCCTGCTGCTGCTTGTAGCACTCTCATATCCGAATTGCATAATCCGCATATTAACACAAAATTGGTGAATGGTGATAATTTACATGTGGCTTCGAGTCGCTTTGGCGTTTTGCATATTGCAGAGTATGCAAAGAAGATTTTAGAGCATGATAGTCAAATATTAAATTAAATACGTTTTTATACCAGAACTAACTTTTTTACATAAGCTTTTTTAAAGGACTTTTAAAAATTGCAGTTTGTATTTACATAAGTATTTCCCAGTCCTGACAGCCCATTCCAGGTATGGTTCAGTGTCTAAAGCAATGAGCTTTCACAAAAAAAAACCTGTTTCATGCTCTTCATAACTTTGAGGAAATGCTTATTCCAATAAAATCACATTCTTTTCTATACTGCGCAATACTCCTATTCTCTGGTATTGTCCTACAATAGGTTCGTTCGCGTAGCTGTTAATTGTTCATGTTTAACCAAAACTTACAGGTTTTTGCGTTCGCGTACGCAAAAAACTTGCAAAGTAGGGGAAATTGAGAGAGCAAAGTGACATTTCATTTTGAGGGGAAGCTGTTAGTTTCTGTTGGAAAAATTTTTGCCAACANAAGCAAATGTTTCACATACATACATTCATATCGTTGTTTAAAGTACAAAACCGGCCGAACCCGATCTTAGGACAAACAAGTTTTCCGTCCAATGCGAAAACAAGTTGAGCGCAACAATATTGTGGACTGCGTACCTCGAGTTGGGATGATGAGGGTTATTTTTTTGAATTACGGCCGCAGGCCACCTACGCGGAAAGGTGTTCTGCGCAAAAATACTGTCACCCCTGATCTAGTTTAGCCTGCTTTGTCCTAAGATCGGGTTTGGCCGGTAACATATACATATATGTACATATATACATATGTACCGGAAATTGTAAAAAAAAAACTATGCAAGCTTTCACATCAATCGACATTTTCTATGGTTGGCAACGCGGCAAATCAGCTGGGTTTTTGTCAGCCATATGCATTCGATTATGAATTTCGGCAGCCGGTTGCATCTTACATTTCCTATCTCAGCATTACGCTGTCCACTTCTTCCGTAAAAACAACATCGAAACAAATAAACAAAAGAGTGCGTAGTGTAAAGCACGAAAGGTAATGAAAAGGTTTTTCCCATTGTGAAATGGCGAGTAGAATTGGAGTTTTGCGTTGCGGCGAGCAATAAATTAGGGCACAAGTGCTGAAAATGCTCAGTTGGATTACGAGCATAATTGTAACCAGACGTACTAAAGAGTAAGCTAAAAAGTACAAAACTAGTTCTCGCAAATAAACACCGCGGTCCACCGTTGTGAAATAAAAACGGAAGTACTACGAAAAATTACTATCGCACAAGCATTTTTTTGTCAAACACGAAATTCAAGAATCGAACGGATACTTCTACAAGGCAAAGCTAATTTGACTTCACATCCCAAAGAAAAAATTTAAAACTCGGCGAAAATGTCCACTTTTGGCGCAGAGTTCGAACAAATTTGGCCGAAAGCTGGCTCAGCTATAAAATTAACTGAATTCGGCAAAAAATTATTGCACAAATGCTTAGAAGTGGAGAAACCAGACAGGAGTCATATCGATATTAAAAGCTTTATCAAAAAATCATCCAACTTTCCTGTAGAGGTGAGTAATGCATGCAAAACAAACATTTCCATGCAAATAATAAATACGTTTTCTTTTTTCCATCTCAGTTCGGCACCAATACTTGTCGCGTTATCAGTCAGCCCAAAGAGCGTTATCCGGAAATTCAGAAACAAATCGAATCTGCGTATCCGATAATACACGAACGCGTTTTGGGCTTATATCTGGCATTCTTGAAGCACAAATGCAAATATGGTTGGTAAATTAGGAATTGCGATTAGCATTTCACAATGCAATGTAAATGAAAGACCCATAACAAAAGTGATTGCTGATTTCTCTTTTTTAGCTTTTACCTTTCCAAGCATGATTCGCTTTTTTATTGATTTATTTTAGTTGTTTTTGAAGTAGTTAGCTTGCTATTTAAATTTCCTTTGTTGTTGATTTGCAAAAAATAATACAGTTACTGCAAAAGATCGAATATTAATCCAAATTTAAATTAGAACCTTGTACACAACAAATTAGCCAGTTTTTAGGTATTAAAAACTTAAAATGTGTAGTGATCAAGTTTTAGTTAAAAAGTAAAACAATCCAAAAAATATTCTAAAGAATAAAACGAAAATTCCAGGCAATAAACGCGAACTTGAACTCTATCAAAACTTGTCACTCACCGATTTTGTTCAACGCCTGCTGGCCAAGCGCTGTGTTAGTTTCTTTGGTAAAAACGATAAATATCTTTTATTATCGCGACATCGCGGTTGTAGTGGATTCTTGGATATAGGCACCGATGCAGAGAAGCCACCGCTGTTGTTGCAAGATGTACTCAGCTATGATGAGATTAAGGTGAGTGAAAGCAACAAACCCATCATTCCACAATTGTCACATATATTTCTTTCTTCCACAGCTCTCCGCTTTACTTTCTGTCTCCTCACATACGGAATTTCTCAACGACGGCAACCGTCAAAATTGTGGAGTCATTGAACTCAATAAATCACGCATCGAAACAGATGGCGTCGTCATTGGTCTGATTGGCGCACGATTAGTACGACGCGATGTAATGGAATTTCAGGATATCATAATTGCCAGCAAGCAAAATACCAAAGAAAATGGTTACGGCTTACCGACCGATGCTGAAGCAAATACGCGCTCAGCTGATTATCGACGCTTATGGAAGCAGTTCTATGAAGAGCGAGATCACCTATACGAACAAGTAAAAGTGGATGGCAAACGTTTTGGCAATGCACGCGCAAAGAACGACATATTTGATAATTTGCTTATGAAGAAGCGCTATACCATCTCTTTTGATACGCTGTTGTTGGAGAGTGAAGCGCGTGCTGCCGCGGCAGGCAAGCAAGCTTTTCTGCATGTGGTGGGCATAGGCTTGGGTGTGTGGCGTGCAGCTGAGCACCAGGAGAAAATCTTTTTGGAGACATTTGCGCAGCGGCTGAAAGTGTTGTTGCCAAAATTGCCGCATGTTAGCGTGGTACACTTCTCTTGGTTTCATCTGAGTGAGTGGGCCGATTTGAAAAATGGTGGCATGTACAAATCGGAAACACATCCCGATGGCGGTATAAGGACTTTCTTGTCAAAACGTAATCCGGCCGATAAGCTGGTGAGCGTAAAGGGGGTAATAGAATTTTTCATTGTTAGCTTTATTGTCAAGGGGAGGTGAGCGGAAGTAAATTTTGCTGGTTGTTACTAAAACTACACATTCATATACTTTGCATGCTCTAATAACGTATTTAAATTTGAACATTTTCAACTATCTAATGCTAAACATTTTATCTGCAGAAATCACCAGAACTAGAGAATATGTTGCTGATCGTCTCCTATGCATGGGACGGTAATGCCTTACCAGGCAACGAATTTTGGATGGTTAGTTATTCTGAAATATCCCTAGGAACCTATTTTTCTTATAATTTATGTTGTTTATTTCGCAGAAAATGCTGAAATCCACCGGCGACTCTTCCACTGCCTGTAGCACGCTTGTCAGTGAACTGCATAATCCACATATTAATACCGAGCTAGTGAATGGTACAAATTTGCACGTTGCTTCGGAGCAGTACGGTGTGTTGCATATTGCAGATTACACGAAAAAGTTGTTGGAATAAGGGCAAGCTTGTGGGAATAGTTGAGGCACATGACGAATTGGACCATCATACATGGAAATATTGTTTGAAGCTTTTTAATATTTAGTTAAATTATTTATGTATTTATATTGTGCAATAACTAATAATTAAGTAATATTTAAAAATATTGTTTAGTTGCATGGGCTCAATAAAAACATGATTTATTGGAAAGCTGCTTTGTTTTTTTACCGTTTTCTTTTGTAACGGACGAAAGGCTATACAATTTATTTTGTTATATATGTCAAACAATTTATTTATGTTCGCGCTGGTGCCGCAAGATCTTTATTTCTGGCTATGTGATTCCTAAAAAGGTTTTTTGTTAATCAGTCCGCTGCTCTTTTATTTTTAATACCGCCGATTCAGTGAATTTTCTTTTTTATTTCCTTTACTCAACTTCCGCTTCCTTCTCGTAGGCAACGTTATCGAACACGCCGTGTACAAGGGTATGACCCTGACCGGGCTGGTACAGCGTCTGCTTACAAAACGTTGTGTTGCCTTTCTGGGGCCTTCTGATAAATATCTATTGCTAAGTGGACACCAAGGATACGGCGGGTTTCACGATGTCGGCACGGCTGCTGAACGTGGCGAGTTAACCTTAAAAAACGTACTTAGCTATGACGAAATAAAGGTGAGAAAAACGCTTTAAGCTAAAACCAAATTAAGTTTCCGAACTCAACTACTGCTTCTTCACAGCTCTCCGCCTTTCTCTCCGTCTCATCGCACACACAATTCCTCAACGATGGCAATCGCCACAACTGTGGCATTATTGAAGCAGATAAAACGAAAATTGAGCCAGCAGGCGTTATCATTGGCATGATCGGTGGACGCTTCGAGTCCATTGATGTTATGGAATGGCAGGATATAATGATAACGCCCACGCAGAATACTGTAGACCGCGGCTACGGTTACAAGGTGCATGAGGCTGAACATGCAAACAATCGCATTGTTGGCTACCGCCAACTATGGTCACGTTTCTACGAGGAACAAGACAAGCTTTACGAAAAAGTGAGCGTGTTGAATACGCCGCGCTACTTTAAAGTGCCATGCACCGATTTTATATTCGACAATGTTTTGATGAAGAAACGTTACGCCATCTCATTTGACACGCTACTGCTGGAAGCAGATGCGCGCGGGGCGGCCGCAGGCAAACAAGTATATCTACATGTGGTTGGCTTTGGATTGGGTGTGTGGCGTGCTGTGCAGCATCAGTATAAGATATTTTTGAAAACTTTTGGTGAACGAATGCAGGAGCTGCTGCCACGCTTGTCGCATATAGGCGTGGTGCACTTCTCACATTTCAAACAGAGCGCTCCCGGTGTGCTGAAGGTTGGTAGCGTGATAGCTGCGGAGACGCATCCTGATGGTGGCATTAAAACGCTACTAACCGATCGCAATCCCTCGCAGAAGTTGGTGAGTATGCATAAATGGTAAATACATATATACATATGTATGTTCATATGCACGTAATTACGTTTACTAATCACTTTCATTTATATATTCCCTAGCCGCCGGAATTTGAAAATATGCTCATAGTGGAATCGTATGCATGGGATGGAAACGCTTTGCCAGGCAATGAATTTTGGGTGGTGTGTTTCACGAGTTTAGCTTTAAAGTTTTCATTTACATATATTCCTTTTTTTCTTTTGCCTTAGGGCTCGCTAAGTGGTTCCGGCGATCCGGCCGCCGCCTGCAGCACTCTAATCACTGAATTGCATAATCCGCATATAAATTCTGGAGTGGTAAATGGTGATAATTTGCATGTGGCCTCAGATCGTTTCGGTGTTCTGCATGTTGCACAGTACGCTAAGAATATTTTGGGGTAAACTATGGATTCCGGAAACGATATAAGATGTGCACATGTAAATACACCAAAACCCCAAGAAATAATTTGCGAATATTTTATGTTTTATAAATACTTACATTTTTTTAATGTCTTACAGGTATCAAACGTTAGCTCAATATTTTTAAATAATTTATTATTTAAACTCACGAATCAACAGAAAAAGTCTTGTAAAACAAACTGCATTTAAATTAAATTAAATATAAAATTTTACATAAATAAATTGGCGATCGGAATAAATAAGATCAATTTTAAATGTTAGCGTTTTCGATTTATGATACCGGAAATAATATTCGAATCCTGTCAGCACTTAATTCCTCTATACAACGCGCCATCTGCAAGTTAATTCCAAAAGGCGTATTTTAACATTTGTTCACAAACGCCATTTGCTCTCAAACCAACCATAGTATTAGGTCTGTTCCACACGAGTCCGCGAGATCCCGCGGGTGCCCAAAACAACCCAGAAAGCATTCCTCACGCTAGCAAAATGGGTAATAGAGAGCGAGTACGTTCCACTTTGGATCATAAATGTCTTCTTCTTCTTGCCCGAAACAGCCCGAACTTTTTTCCGGACACAAATGTGCAAATTCAAATTGTCATAACAGCTGTTGTTTGTTGTAATCCGAAAGCAAATTTTATAAATACATGAAAAAGAAGTTTCGAGTTCAAAATGGCTCCTCGACGAGTATGGTCGTGCTGACCTGTCGAGTACTTTTAAAGCAAATATTGGATTAAAATATAAGCAAATAATGAAGTCTTTTCACATGTGACTTGTCGTGTTATACATAGTAATATGTAATAAATATAAAATTCTGAATCGTTCCAAATTAAAATAAAAGATATCTGATAATACTTAAACTTTAAATATAATGTTAATAAATTAATTTAAATAAAACATACATATGAAGTGCTTCAAGTGAAATATTAACCATAATGTTAAATTCGTTAAACAAAGAAGATGCAAAGCTAAATAAAGTACCGTTTGCACGGTATGGACATAACTGTTGGAAAAATAACTAAAAACTGCTATAGAACTGATGAAGTACAGTTTGCATGAAAATGATTAAAGTATAAAATTAAATTTTAACAAACATCTGACGCATAATTATAAAATTATACATTTTGAGATATAACCTGGCGATACGTGGACTTATTTCCCTGCCATTAAATACATACAGATTAATACAATCTAATATATAATTAATAAAAAATTTAAGACGTTAGACCAGCAGAAACTTTGCACGTGGTTCTGGCCCTCAGCGGTATTACCATACGTGTATTAGTGGAGCAACGTTGGACACACCTGAAGATTTATCATACCCTTGGAATATAGCATACTAAGAGGAATAACCTGGCGGTGGTTTACAATTAAACCGGCCAACCTACCCAAATCCCAAAAAAAAAAAAAAAAAGTTTCAGAAAATGTAGTTATTTGCTAATTTTATTCGCCATATAAGATAAATACACATAAAATCATTGGTTTTTTGCGTTCCTCACCCTCTGGGCAATTTTGGCAGGTGTTGACATATTTTAGACACTTGTGAGAGAGTAACTTAATTTTGCGCTCTAATTACCGAAACAATTCGGAAAGCGTGTGGAACAAAGCTATTGCTACAATGTCTACTAAACTGTTTGGCTGGCCACCATTTTTTGTTAAGATTTGCAAATGTTGCAACTCTGAAAATTGCATTCCAACCATATTGAATGCATTTTGCTGGTTGCTGCTCGCAACTCTGTAGATTTATGTTTATTACCAATTTTTCCACAACTAATCCAAATGTAATTAAAATATATCACCATTTAACCAAGCAGTGCCAATAAATTTACCATCAGTGAAAAAAAAAATAAGTTAGTGCAATTGTGTTAGCTATAGCCAGCCGGCGACTTCAGTCACTGCACCACACCATAATGAACATTACACGTATTCTAGGACAAAATAACAAGATCTATCAAAAATTTGGCGACTATTGTATTACAGAGACGGAACCGAATCAATGCAGTATCATTTGCTGCTTCTGTCAGGAAGAGCACCACAGCGAAAACGCTTTTTGGGCGCACGTACAACAGTTGCATGCCTATGCGCCAGCGCGGCTCTGCATAATGCGCGATACACCAACGTTAACTAGCTGCGAAGGTGACAGCGAAAGCCATGACAATTCGCCAATTGGCAATGACTGTGAATCCACCTTGACCACTGCCAAAACGACTGCGCTTCAACCGGTAGCGAATGATGCACCAATGTATGTGGAAGCTGAATACTTGGAAAGTGTTGTACTAAATGATCCAAATACGCTTTTGGAACTAACCGGCATCAGCAATACGTTTCTCGATTTTCAAGAGCAAAAACCAAATGGAACTCAGGGCGCAATAGAGACTGGCAGCCAAGAAAAGGAAAATGTACAGCAGGGTACATGAGCACGGCATAAATGTTTATAAATACAAGATTTCTCAAATAAAAATATTTTCAGCTGAGCGCAACCTTTTGAACAAAGAAGATAAGTCGCCGCATTTAAAAGGCATACGAAAAATCATAGATATCGATAAACTCACACCGAAGCAATTGCTAGAGAATGGCGTTCTGTTAAAAAGCCTTTTCCAGCAAATGCAACGCGCCAGCAATGAGTTTAAATATAAACTCAATAAGCTTACACAGGCCGTACAGCTAATTGAAAGTGAGCTGAAGAAGGAACCTGGTAGTCGTACGCTCAAGCGCTACATGAAAATCATACCAGATCAGCCATTTACCAGCCGTGATGAAGTGCTCATATTGGACGATGAGCTGCATCATAGCAAAGAGATGCGTGACGCATTGGTAAGTAAAATATTTAAATGCTTACGGTACCCGAAACTATTATTGCATGGTTTTCGAATTCTTTAGCACGAAGAAACAATCGCATTAGCTGCTGAGAATGCAGACGTTTTCTGTCGCATACTCTGGCGTTTTATTATGACAGATGAGGTGTCGAATCAATTCTGCTGGCGTGGTGTTGTAAATGCCGACAAAGTTATAAAATATCCAATCAAGGATATGACCATGATGGATGTGTTTCAAGGTACATTCACACATGCAAAATTTTGATATTTTCACTGAATTTAAAACTGTTTCTCTTGCGCAGGAGTTTTTCGTGAAAAGTTTCCTGGCCAAACGCTACACTTTTTCAAGGATCGCACAATGACCTACTTCAATAAAGCCCACGAGCGTCTGAAACGTAAACAATTGAACAAAGCTGATGTTAATGGTGCGGAAAGTAATGGCTGTGACTTGGTCTGTACCAAGGTATTGTCAAAGGCACAGGAAAGTGATTATAAGCGCGCCCGTAGTGATGCGGTTAAGAATGAAGATGGTGTGGACTCGGTATTTGAGGAAGTATTTTGTGAATGAAAAACAGCGGAAATATGTTAGGATTTTACGGTACATCAAATCAAAGTGGAGCTGCATATAAGATTTATACCAAGTCGGTGTTGAAACCCAGACATTAACTTTCCAGTTTTTTCAACTCTAAAAGCCTAGTAACAAATACGGAGTAAAAGGCTTGAATTACATTTTTGATCTCAGGAGATATACATACATACATACCGTCGTTTAAAGTACCGCAAAACCGCGTAACTGACATTTGCTGCCAAAAATTGGGTTTGCTCACACAAGCTCTTGGATCAATCCGTATCCATTCGTCTTGAAATATACTAGCATACAATATACAGAAATGCGATTGCTTTATAAGAAAGAGAATCATTTTGAAATATGGGTGTTTTTACTTTCTAGAAAATAATTTATGCAACCTCACATACGCAGTTTTGCATTTTGTTGATACGCGGTTTTGTACTTTAAACGATATGTATGTATGCAATTAAACATTGTGTGTAATTTATAAGCGATTCTCTCCAGCCTATGTAGTTGAATCAAATAATAACCTAAAAGACAAACACACATTTGTATAACAAAAACAATATACATATAAACAATAAATCTACACTATATTTTAACATACTTAAGTCTACCGTTTTCTTACTATTTCTCTGTTCTTTTAAAACCGTTATTTATAATTATACAAGTAAAAGAACTTATATTTTTTTGTACTGAATCGGGGCAAAATGAATTTATTATATGCTAAAGTCTTAAAAACAATAATTGTACCATATTGCGTTTGATTTGTTTGCAATCAAACTTTTATATTAGCATTTTACTACAGCATGTGCTTACGCATACCTCAATGTAAAATGTTATATACATACAAATACGTAAGTAATAGAAAAATTAAATGTATTTTTATACATACATACATATGTTTTTCAAAAGAAATTGGATCGGTTAATAACAAAAGGAAATAGGTCCGCATTTTTCCGATATGGCAAATTTTATGCAATTCAACAGAGCTCCTTAAAACCTACCGAACTACCTTAAAATTTACATATCGAAATGATGCTGACATATTTTCTTTGGTAATTAATCGAATGAATTGCTTAACACTAAACGAAAAGTAAAACAATGTTTCTTATCACTAAACTTGAACATGCACAAAATTCTCAAGAAAAATAAAATTACATTCTTTAACTTCAATATATTTTTCCTTGTTAAAATCCAAAATAACTAATTTAAACTTATTTATCCGTTTTCAACAACACTATTCTTTCTTATAATCTGTCCTATATGTTATTTTTACTAAAAAATAATAATATTGCAAGTGACGCAAAAAAATATATGGAAATATAAACCAAAAAATATTAAAGTCATAACTCAACAAAAAAAAGAAAATTTGCATTATTGGCGCACTGTTTTAGAAACGCTGCGGCACTAGTCCTTTGGATCCTTTCAGAAAGTGTTTCTTCTTGCGATGCGTTGACAGATTACACGATTGTTTGAACGAGGCGCCACATAGTTCACACGCAAAACGTCGCTCCTTACTATGCACTGCACGATGTAACTCCAAACGTGATTGGTATTTGAACTTTAGGCCGCAGGTCTCGTAGTCGCATATGTACCAACGCTCGCCATCCTCTGAAGAAACAGCACTGCTGGCACTAGCCGTGGTGCTGTTCGATTCTTTTGGCATTTCATGTGACATCAATGCCGCAGCGGCTACAGCGCCCGGCATGCCCATTGTAGGTGGCAACGCCGGTGCACTATGTACAATGGCGGCTGCATATGAACTTACTGGTGTTACTTGTGGCAGTTGGTATAAGGCAGGTGCAGCTGTGCTCACCTCAACGGCTTGATGCGCAACACTAGCGCCACCACCAGTGCCAACACCTCCCCCACCGCTATGTAAACTTTGTGCGGGTGGCGGTGGCGGTGCCAAGGATATCCCATGTCTTATACTAGGCGGTTCTACTTTTATATCAATTTCGACTGCATTCGGTTCAATTGCGCGCATTTCGGTATAGTCCTTTGGCTCAGGTTTTTCCTGTGAATTGTCTCCATGATCAAGCACGCCACTAGCACGCAACTCTTCTTCATTCACTTTTCGATACAATGGCAAAGGCATAAGGTGTGCTGCTGTCGCTTCAGTTTCTATGTAATTGCGTTGTGGTTCTTGCTGTAGTTTTTGGAGGGAAGTGCGCGAGTGTAAATATATATTTCTTTTTGTTTTTCTACAACTTCAAAGACGCGTATATAGTGTTGCGCCACTTACCTGTTTGAAACCCAAGCCGTGCATGAAGTTGTGTTCATCTTGTATATGCTTCCAAAATTGATCTTGTGTCTGTAACTCTTCCTGGCACACTTGACAAACAATCCAGAAGCTTGCATCACCCGACAAACAAAATTCACCCAACTTCGTATATATTTTGTTATTTTTACTTAAAATGCGTGGGAAACCCATTTTACTAACACCACCACCAAAATTTTACTAATTTTATTTAAAAATATACACAAATCAGGAAAAATATCAAAAAATTTGTAATTTCGTTGCCACAAATATTTTTGTTTATTTCCATTGACATTTGGAATCAGCTGTGTGCAGTGATGCCATATTCACGGTTTTAACTGTAAATTTCAGTTTTTTAAGACAAGCTTACGCCAGATTTACATGATTCAGGTATTTGACAGCAATTCTTGGTCATTCTCTTTTGTGTTTTCTATTTGCTTTAACACGATTCAATTCTGTTGAATTCAAGCTTTTGGTTTTTTAAGGCCTGTAAAAGAAAAGCAAAAACTCCATATAAAATGACGTACAAGAAATGGCTAAGAAATTTTCTTGAGTCAAATTTCCTTAGAGCAGTACGCAGTTCTTAAGAAATTTACTACGCTTTCTACTACGGTTTTCTAAAGTTTTTTGTGAAAAAAGAGCACAAGACAACACAGGTTTGCAACAGAAATATATGCCCGTTCCATTATTTCTTGAGGAAAGAGTGAGGCAACAGGCTGTGAGGTATCAAAAATGTCAAAATTGCTTGGACACACACGCGAAATAATGGCAATTTTTCTTGACCGTTTTCTTGAGAGCTGCATACAGGGCTTCAAATGGGAAACCACGAAAATGTCAAAAGCAAAGCAAGAAAGTTGAAACGTCTATAATCGTCTATTTACTTCTCAGTAAGTCTGTGTATCACGAGTACTTTCTCCACCTCATCGTGAATTTTGCCGCAGACCTAGCGTACTGTAAAAATGAAATTTCGACATACTTGATAAGCTTCCAAAGAGTTTAGACATGCGCGGATAAAACTGGAACAAGATAAACAAATTCTGTTAAAATTCTTTAAAATATATATATTTTTTTTAAATGTCTGTATGGTGAATTGTGTCGTGTGCGAGTCGCGGGGCAGGTACTCGCGATGTGCAGACATACTGTGTGGTGTATTTGGCGTATTACCAAAAAAAAGTACATAATAAGTGACAAATAGTTATAATTGTAGCGAAAGTGCGCAATAGGGGCGTGCCTTCTCTTTTGCCCTAGTGCGTTTTTTGGTCGGATGAAAAGATCAGCAGTCAGATCTTCAACTAGTTGTGGTGCGTAAAAAACTTGTTGATCATCGATATTTAAACTAGTTTCTTTCCGTACTTAGTTTCTACGCACGCCTTACAACATCAGATAGGCCTGTTACGTGTTTTTTTTTATTACCTCGCTAGTCTATAGTACAATTTTTTTTTTATTAAATTAGAACGAATAATTTAAAATATCTCTTAAAATTTTAACTTTAATTGTAGATGAATTGTTTATGTTTGTTTGGTATAATTAAAACCCGTAATTTTCTGAAACTCCCATTGTTTTTGGAGTTTGCAGTTTTTTTGTTGAAAATTAATTTTTTCTTGGTAATCCAGTTTTGTTGAAGAAAATCTGGCAACACTGACCGTATGACAAAACGCAGTGTTGCTCACAAAGCGAATAGAGACTGCTAAACATAGCACGGTTAAAGGCCTGTATGCAGCTCTCAAGAAAACGGTCAAGAAAAATTTGCCATTATTTTGTGTGTGTGTCCAAGGAATTTTTACATTTTTGATACTTCACAGTCTGTTGCCTCACTCTTTCCTCAAGAAATAATGGAACGGGCATATATTTCTGTTGCAAACCTGTGTTGTCTTGTGCTCTTTTTTCACAAAAAAAATTCTTTAAGAACTGCGTACTGCCTTAAGGAAATTTGACTCAAGAAAATTTCTTAGCCATTCCTTGTACGTCATTTTATATGGAGTTTTTGCTTTTCTTGAGAGCTGCATACAGGCCTTTAACCGTGCTATGTTTAGCAGTCTCTATTCGCTTTGTGAGCAACACTGCGTTTACCAAATAAATTAACAAGTTAAAATGGCTAAGGCTCTTTACCGCAGAACTCCACAGGCAAACATCGATGGCCTACCAACTGTCATTTTGACGAGCAATGTGATTGCAAGTTTTTGTGTGTGGGCACTTTGATGTCTTGAAATAAGCATTTGCCGCATGACGCCACCAGACAACATTCTCTCAATTTCGGTGTTTAAAAACATTTAAATCTTTAAAAAACTTGCTGAATAATTTCCTAAAACGTAATAATAAATAATCCAATAAGGAACAGACTTTTATTTTAATTTAATATAAAAATTTCATCGATGTTACCACCAGCACGCTTTCTTTCAAATGAAAATATGGCTGTCAAACTATCGAATTGCCTGCAATAGATGTCAAGCAATAAGCGCTGACATATATTGCAGCACATGAGAAATAGGCGGTCTCCATTGGAAATATATTTTGTGACATAGTTTTCACGACATCAGTGTTTTCCTGTGGAGACAGGGCCTTAAGATTCTGAAATAAACGATTGAGAACTAAATACAAACCAAATTCATTTTACTTGATGGCAACCCTCTTAAATACTTCCGCTTTGTACCTGCGCATTTCCTTTTCACACAAAAGTCGTTTCTGGTATTACAATTTTGTGATAGCAATTAACAACATGCATTATATTTCAAATGTGCAATACAGCGGAGACTGTGATTAATGCAGTACATATTTCCCAGTAGATGATTTCAGGAGTTAAAAGCCCTTCCGAAAAGCCTTCCTGAGAGTCAAGAGGCCTTCCACTCTACATTCCTTTTTCATTTGTTCTTTTGTATGGAGTGGCACAAATTGGAGGGCTTCTTCTTTCGCTACCCATAGAACGCCATGTACTTATCTCAGGTTAGTTCAAACGGTGAAGGATCTGAA